CGGAAGGGAAACTTTCGGAAGAGGGGGATGTTCCGGGGGCGGTCTCCCTCCTTCTTTGAAAGCACTGACCTTGTCCCAGCTGCGCACCCCACCCACCCGCATCCCACAGTCCGGGTGCCGCTTAGCGGTGCCCGGTGGTTGCGGTGGGGGAGGCTCTTCCCAAAGCGCAGGCGCGGAGACGAGCCGCGGGCTCCTCTGTACACTTCGCAGTTCCTGTGGCCTGGGGCGGCAGGGCGTGGAGGAGCCGGGAGAGGCGGAGAGATCAGGGCCTCGGGGACCGACCCTTCGTGGCTTCGAGGGGAGGCAGATCTGAGGAGGGCAGCCCGATGGGCTGAACACTAAAGAGAGGCCGAGGGAGGGAGAAGGGCTGGGCAGGGAATGGGGCCAGGGCAGCGCCTGCAGAAAAGACTCTGGGTCCTGGCTGCGGTGTCAGAAGAATGCCGAATACGCCCGACACTCCCCTGGTCTAGCCCGGCCGGGAAAGCGGTTGTCCGAACCTCAGCCCCCATTAAGGAATCTCCTTATCCTTATCCCAGGTGGGCCCAGGATAAGGATACAGCCCTGGCAATGTCCCAAGGGCACAGGGGCACCGAACCTCCCACAGGCCTAGTTGTCCAGGTGTGTCAGCGCTGTCCACCCAGCCTGTCCAGCTGCTACTTTTTGATGCTCGCCTTTCTAAGGACCCAGGGGTCTTCTTGGGCTGATGAATTCCCTCTCTGGCTATAAAGGCAATTCCTCTTATTCCTGTCCTGTCTCCCAGAGGTCTTCCTGCCTAAGCACCATTGTCTGCCAGAGGTCATGGTTGGAAACATACCATATCTGCCTAGGACAGATAGTCCTGAGGGACCCTAAAGAGGGGGTCAGTGTCTAGCCATTCTGTGGTTAGTACTTGTGGGGATAATGGATCTATCACAGTTGCCTGTTGCAGACCCTCTTGCAAGACATGCCAGCTGGCTCTGAGACCCCTTGTCTGGCAAAAAGGGCGTCACAAAATTCACGTTCATATTGGCCCCTTGTCTCCCTAAGAACAACCTGGGTTATTGTGCTTCCTACCTCAGAGGGACACAAGTATTCCTCTCTGGGGAGATTCCCACAAAGTTCAACTTTGTTTTCAAAGTCTGTGGTCTGTGTCTTAGGTGGCATCAGCCCTCATGCATGAGGTGGCATGGGCCCTCCACCATGTTTCGTGGCCTGGGCTGCAGGGAGCATGGCTCTTCCACAATAGGCAGGTGAAAACCAATATACATGAGGACCAAGCTGTTGTCGCTGTGGACTGGGTCAGAAGTTTTGGTCCCTGCACTTAGCCTGCTGTATGACCTTGGCCAAGACAGTTTGTCTCTCTGGGCCAGTTTACCCCACCTATAAAATTCAGCAGTTGGGCTGGAAGGCTCTAACAGTCCCTTCCACTTGTGGTACTGTGTGGTTCCACTGATGAGTGATTCCGGAGGGGAGAAAGGTCCTCTAGTGGGGTGGCCCAGTTTGGAGAGGTAGGTGTTAGGTGATGTGGTTCTAAATCTCATGATTACTTGGGAGGAGCCGAGTAGACTACCTTATCCTACCTAAGAGTAGTCCTTGTCCTTCTCACCCCTGGTGCCTTGGGCTATGAACTGCTGCTGGGGTTTGGCCCACCCATCAAGGCCTCTGGTGAGACATCCTGGCGGGCTAGCCTTTGAGTTAGACCTATGGGGAGGGGTTGAGAAAGGAGGAGGCCTCCAAAGGCCAGCAAAGTAAGCAGATTCCCAGGAGACAGTTTGCATCTCAGTTGTTGGGACATGTTTTAGGATCTGGGCCAGAGAGCACAGCACACTCATCTGCCCTCTTATGGGAAGAAGACAGGAGGGCCCACTGTTGTTGCCCATTCCACTCCCAGCCCTACTCACCTCACCTCTGCACTCACACCCCCAACTCCCAGGCAAGGGGCTAAGGCTCTCCCCTGCTGCCCGCACCCAGCCCAGCCAGCCTCGCAGGCCCTGCCTTGCCAGCCCACTTTTCCCAGCCTCCTTCCCTCTGGGTTGAAGACTTTCTCAGGAGTCAGGCTCCCCAGGTTGGGACTTGCTCTGTAGCCCAAGAGCCAAAGGCCTTCCCGTTTTCCTTGTTTGTTTTCATCCTTGCTCTCCCAGGTGCTGAGTGGGATGTCAGAGAGTTAGAGAGGCCGTGGATTGGTTGGATGCGGGCAGATTCTCCTGCCAGTATTGTCCTTCCCTCTGCTAGCCCCCTTGGGCCCTGCCTCCCATGGGAGTGAAACTGCAGCAGGAGGTGTTTAGTTAGACCCCCAAGGAAGCCTTTCTCACTGCCAGGAACCCCTGGAAGGGAGAACTGAAGCTGCCAGGGAGGTCAGTTTCCCAGAAAGTGGGTGATGGCGGAGTCCCTGTCAGAGTGAAGGATGCAGCTGTTGCTAGGCAGAGGCTGCTGTTCCCTCTTGGGGTGTGGCTGACGCTGGCAAGCTAGAGACCTCTTCAGAAGCAGGAAGAGAAAGGATCCTGATTTAGTAGCTGAAGGGTCGTGGGCCCCACCAGCCATGGGTCACCAGAACCGGACTCTTTCATCTTGTAACTCTAAGAGCTGGGAAAACGGTAATTATCGAGCAGGTGGGCCCCACCAGCCATGGGTCTCTCAGAACAAGTGCTGCTTCCTGGCCCTGTTTCCCCTGGCTCCTCCCCCAGTTCACCGCCACCACTGTCTGCTGTAACAGTCCTCACCCGAACCTGGCAGGCTCCTCCAGCCACAGCCAAGCTGCACTAGAGGACTGATTGGATTTTCTACACTCAAAGTTTGGGGTTTCTGATTGAACATGCAAATTTATGTAAAGAAACCTGAAATGTGCCACTACATCAAAGCAACATAGAATCCTAGACAGGAAGGAATCCTAGAGACAGTGTTAATGCCCTCGTGTTAAAAATGGGGAAACAAGTCCAGAGGGAAAAGTGATTCATACAGTGATGAGTGTCAGGCAGGGCTCCTGACGCTGGTCAAGTGTTTTCCATGGTACCATTGTGCCTTAGTTTCTCGTGCATGAGGAGGCCTGGCTGAATTTAATGCAGAGAAGGTAGTTCTTGAAGATGAGATTATAGAGAGCTGGGCCCTAGGAGGGGCAGGGTATTATCTCAGGAAACTTACAAGGGCTCTGGTCAGCTGTCTAATATGTGGAAGTAAACAACTTTAAATCCCTCCCAGCATCACGCTTAATACTTTTCCCCAGGCTCTGCCCTGGAAGGTTAGAGGACAAGGTCATTGGTTGCTACCTGGCTTGGCCCTTATGGTTTCTCCGGAGCTGAGTTGCATCTGTTCCTGGCATCGGAGCTGAGTTGCATATGTTCCTAGCATCTCTCCCTAGCATCTCTCGCAGGACCAGGCACATATAGACTGTGGATAGAGCTTTACAGGCAATGTCTTTATCCTTACCTTCTTATTTGAGTCCCTGCTGCTTCCCTCTGTGGCCACCCTGGGAAAAGGTCTTCGGTGCTCTATGACTCTTTGCCCACCCTTCCCTGCTCTCTTGGAGGGCACAGGCCAGCTGGGCCTTCTCTGCAGCTTTCTGCAACATGATCAGCCCAAACAGACCTTGCTATAGGGAGGATCTCTTTATTGTAAAATCAGTGCCAAAACGGAAGGGGGCTGGGGATATGGGCTTTGGTTCCCAAGAAGCAGTCTCCCCACTTCTGATGGGTTCTTGGTCTGATCTGCCTACCCAGCTTCGGGATGCGCCCCGCTCCCACTTTATGGACTGTACCTGTGGCATGCGGTTATTTGGAGGGCTAAGCCCCCACTTACCCTGTGGTTTCTGCTCAAGTTGCAGAGATGGAGGAGATGCTCCAAGCAGCTGGCAGGCTGCGCTGCAGAACTTGGGGAGAGTGGGTGGGTGTATGCACTCAAGATCAGAGGCCCTGGTTCCCAGACAGGGCTACCACCAAGCCCTGCTTCACCTGGGGAGGGCCTTGGGACACACATCTGGGGTCTTTTCTCACCTCCTCAAGCCCAGATCTGGCTGACTCTGAAAGGAGTGCCCTTATCTTCAGTATCCCCTCAAAACACAGCAGATCTGGAGCTGGCGCCTTCGTTTCTTCACTGCCCAGTGGCCTTGGCACTTGCATCCTTAGCTCTGTTTGAGGGGAAATCCTTCTCCCTAAGCCTCAGTTTCCCAGCCTGTGCTGATGGATTAATAACACATCATCATTGGGGTGTGGCACCTGCTCGATAATTACCGTTTTCCCAGCTCTTAGAGTTACAAGATGAAAGAGTCCTGAGGAGGCCAGGCTGTTATTAAGGTGAATTATCATTGCTGTTATTACTGATTTCTAAAAATCCAGCAGCCACTGAGAAGAGCCCAATCAGGCACAACTCCCTGAACCTTATACTAGTCCTTGAGCTCTGGGAATTCTTCAGTTCTCAGTAAACTTTTTTTTTTTTTTAAAGTATAGCTAATTGTATTTTTTTTTATTTTTTTATATATTTTATTGATTTTTTACAGAGAGGAAGGGAGAGGGATAGAGTCAGAAACATCAATGAGAGAGAAACATCGATCAGCTGCCTCCTGCACACTGCCTACTGGGTATGTGCCCACAACCAGGATACATGCCCTTGACCAGAATCGAACCTGGGACCCCTTAGTCCACAGGCTGACGCTCTATCCACTGAGCCAAACTGCTCAGGGCAAGTGTAGCTAATTTTAAAGAAGAGACAACCCTTTCTGCTGCTCATGCTGTGCCTGCAGGGCTT